CCAGCTCTGGATCCTCAGGACAAGGAGACCTGGAGCTCCTGGGGCCAGCAGAGGCTGCAGTGCTGAGGAAGGGTCTGGAGCTCCTCCGTGCCCAGGAAAGGCTGAGGGAGCTGGGGCTGCTCAGCCTGGCGAGTCCCTGGGTGTCCCTGGGTGCAGGGAGGTCAGAGCAGGGCCAGGCTCTGCCCCGGTGCCCAGCAGTGCCACCAGAGGAACGGGCAGGGCTGAGCCAGGAATTGCCCCTGCACAGGAGGCAGAACTCTACCCTGGGCAGTGCCTGAGTCCTGGAGCTTTCCCAGATGTTTCCATGCCTTTCCTCCTGCTGTTACCCATCCTAGCCAGCCTCAGCTACCAGAGACAGGTCAGCACAGGTTTGGTCTCTCTTTCTCCTTGTAAATCTACAAAGCAGGCTTAGTGCTGCTGCAGCAGCAAAAAGCAACCTAGCAGGAAAATGGAAAACATCCATTAATTCATGTGCTACAACAAAAAGTCATGCTTGAAATGTCTTTGACTGTTTAGAAAGATGGGAACAGAGAATATGGACTTCACTATTACTAATCTTAATGGAGAACATTCAATCCTGCATAGAATGGGGGGTAGGACAGCTCCCCACCCTGCAGAAGGGTTAAATCTCCTGTAAAAAGGAGTTTACATTTTAGTGACAGCTATTTAAGTACACAAACCCATTTCCTTCTCTCAGTGATGTGGCTGACTTGCCCTTTTAGCAGATAAATAAGAACAATGCTGTTCTAAAGACCTTAAACCAGACAGACCACCAATGCCCACAGAGAAAGAGCAGATGTCACACACACAAGGGAGTGTAAAAAAAAAAAAAAAAGTAAAAAAGTTGAGAATAACATGATTTGGAGACAGGTAGAACTTGCAGTGAAGTAAAAAAGATGGCTGAGTTTGCCAGTCATGGGACTCTGAATCACAGACCTGTTACAACAGTGCCTGAGAGAACCAGGGAATTTCTGTCTCGAAAACTTAGAAGCTTTCCAGCAAAATACTTTTACAACAAAAGCCTCTTTTCTTGTTTTAAAGAAACTTCGTGATGCTACTCATGACTCATTAGACCCCATTAGTAAATGCTGAAAAGGGAAATAAATCCCATAAAGCAAAAACATAAGCTAATAAAGTGCTGATATACTTCAAAGGGATCCCCTTATAAAACAAAATGTCCAACTATAAAGTAAAAGTGGCAACTGCACAAAAAAGGTTTAATCAATATATTGTCTAACAGCCATAGTCACCATCATAAATCAGATGGATTTTTTTTAAGTTTCATTTTTTATTTAAGCTGTAAGAAAGAGGGGCAACACCCTCAATTTAAGTTGCTGCAACACTATTTTTACCTACCTGTCACCTTAATTTTCAGATACAATTTCAGAGGGGAGCTGCTGTTTGCATAATCCATTCAAATACTTAATAATAAAAGCACTGTAATAAAACTACTTAAGATTTAATTATTATTTTAACTACAATGCTTTGTCAAGGGTGGAACTCCATTACTTTCAGTGATCTAATTTTCCATCTGTACTAAGTGTGCCCAAGATTTAAGTTCTCATTTTCCATAATCGAATTGGGTACAGGAAGAATAAAGGACATTAGTATTAAAAAAAAATTAAATAAATCAAGCTGAACCTTTAGATAAGCAGAAAGTTTTCAAGGGAACTGGAAAGTAAAAGCACAATAAAGACAAGGATAAAACTGTTTGCTTTGTTACAATCAACCAATGAAGGTAAACTACCTAACCATTAATTAATTAATTAAGGTGCCCATATATGTAAATACCTGAATTTATTGTTCCCACCTGCTGCTACGCAGAAAATACTAATACTGAAATAGGAAAAAAATTCAATCAACAGCACCTTTACTTTTAGTGTGGAAGCAGCAAAATTGCTCAGGCAATTGCTCTTCTCCACAAACAAAGCCATGAACAGAGGATTTGGGAAACAAAATGAATTTTACAAACACGTCAGTTGTTGTAATAATCCATACTGAAATGTCACTTTGAGGTTATGCTCACACAGGAGGATCAGCAGTACTGGAAAGGATAAAGAATTACTTCATAAAGCAGTCACACAATTAACAACTCATGGAAAACATGCAGTAAGGGAGAAAATCATCCATATTTTCACTATTTCACATAACAGAACAATTAGGAAGGTATTTAGTAGAACCACTTGTACCTGGAAACCCTGCAGCTGTTTTCCCCAGCAAATTAAATCAGCACTGAAGGCTGGACTATGCTCTCTGGCACATTCATATCACTAAACCCTTTCAGTTTTCAAACTAGAGCAGCGTATCCAAACTGCCCGTGGAGAAGAGCAGCTAAATCCTGCCTCGTGCTGCAGGATTGTCTGGCTGAGCATCAGCTGTGCTGGGCAAGCCCTGGCCCCCTGAACAATCCCAGGGCTGGCATTCCCATGACCAGGGACATTTTTTGGCATTCTTTGTCTCCCCAGCACTCACACAGAGCTTTGATTAACCCTCTGTGGCTCCTGCTATGTACCATGTTTTCAGAGTCATAACTGATGGTGAGTTCATAAAGATTTCCTCAACACATGGCTGTGTTTTCCTCCAGTGAGGAGAATCTGAGAGAATTGGGTATGTTCAGCCTTATTGTGGCCTTCCAGTGTCTGAAGGGCAGTCACAGGAAAGATTAGGAGAGACTTTTCACAAGGGTCTGGAGCAACAGGTCAAGGGGGAATGGCTTCGAACTGAAATAGAGCAGGGTTAGATTGGATATCAGGAAAACATCCTTCCCTGAGGCTGGTGAGGCACCCAGGGTGCCCAGAGAAGCTGTGCCAACTCCCTGGAAGTGTCCAAGGCCGGGTTAGACAGGGCCTGGTTTAGTGGAAGATGTCCCTGCCCATGGCAAATTTCTTGCCCTCTCTGATCAGATGGAATCATCTGCCAGTTCATGGTCTAAAGTTTAATACTACTATTAACTGGAGGGAATAAAGGGCTTCAGAATAAGTAAGAGTGGCTTGGCTTAACATAATAATTACATACAAAACCTGCACAACAATTTTGGTACAAAGGCTACATTGAGATTTTCCACAAAACTGGCAACAGCAGAAGACTTTAAACCTTGTTTAAAGGTTAACAGCAATAGTTGCAACAATTATACAAAATGCAGATTCAGAAGTTGTCAGGAGTTCAACTCTGCTGTTCCTTTACAAAGTTCATCTTTTAAACATCACATTTGAAGGTCATGCAACCACTTTTCAAACCAAAGCAACAGTGAGAAGAGTAGCAAGGACTATTTCTTTCACTCAATTTTGAGCAACCCAGATATTTGATCACTTATTTTAAACTGTGTTACATAACTGAATAATCCAGATGGGCAAATGATCTGGCAAATTCTGGGCAACTTAAACTCATGCAGCAGTGCACAAATGATGAAATGAAGCTTTGCAACCTTCCTTGGGACAATTTATATTTTAAATTTTCTTATGTTACTGACACCTTGTATTTTAACCCAAGCCTTGAAAAACTCCACTCCAAAATTAAGACTTTTCATCAGTTTCTTTACAGTATCAGCTAAAACTGGGACTAGCGTGACAGGAAAGGAAATTTCATGATGATGTAAGTGTGAAGCCAGGGAGAAGTCTAAAGAGAATTTCACATCCAAAAGCAGAGCAGATATAATTGTGATAATGCTCACTGTGACATTTGACTTGTTGGTGACCAACTCCCAACCTCCTGTTACAAAGCATGGGATGAGCTGGGTAATCCAGTTTAAAACAGAATTCCAGCCAGCCTGCACAAATGCTGAGAGGTGTCACTTTGTGGTGTCCTTTACCAGGACTTAGACCCATAAGTTCTGGTGAGGTAAAGGTGCTCAGATAATGATTAATTTATCTTCTAGAGGCAACTAAGAATTCTTTTTTTCAAAGAACAAGAGTGAGGCTTTTCCTTGAAAACCCAGTAAAAATAGAAGATAGCAGCAGAACCTCTTTCTTTACAGAATCCTTTAGGAGTCTTTTGAATAAGAATAGTTCAAAAGATAGAGCAAGGTGCTGCTGATACTTCATGTGTACTGGGAGAGACAAAAATAAGATTTGACACACTTAGGCCCCTACATTTCCATTCTTTAAAGCAGTCCCTTAACAACCTGATGTCCAGCTGTTGGTGCCTTGTCCTGGGAAGTGAGATGCAGCCTGGAAAACCTTGAGGTTGAGAAAAGTACCTGCTGCTAGAAAATGGGGAGAACAGCTTCTCTTCTTCCTTCTCTTTGTAAGTCAAAGTGCCCACAGCTGCTTGTTTTTGCAGAGCTGAGTTCTTTTGAAACATTTCCCATGCCACTTTGATAGAGAAACACTCCAGAGTCCTGCTAGGTCTCTTTATTTCTCAAGTAACACATTGTTCCTTTTTTGGGGCTCCTTTGTCTGAACAAACTCGAGATTTTTCTTTTCCAATGCCCAGTTTTCCACAATGCCCACTCAAAGGGCTGCTGTGTCGGCTTAGGAGAAAACACAGGAAATAAACCTCCCTCTGATTAGGAAAAAGTGACCTGTTCTACTTTAAGACTACAAAACATTGGCAAAGCAGCAGTGGAAAGGCAAATCCACGTTTTAATTGCTCTGGCAAAGAAAGGAACACAAGGCCTTCTCCAGGGATGTCAGTCATGGCAGTTAATTATTCAAATGGGATGAACTAATAGACTTTCTGGGGAAAAAGGCACTTTTGTGTGATGGCAAAAGAGTACATGTGAGATCAGGGTCTGTAAGCAGTGGTATTCCTCTCTTTGCAGTACATCTGCTGCCACAGTTTGAAATAAGTAGCACAGCTGATGACTGGGAGTCTGATGCAATGTACTTACACCAAATGTTACAGACACTTGCCAAGTTCTTCCTTCTCAAAGCACCTTCCACCAGTAAAATGCCTATTTAAACCACCAGGAGAAAAAAAAAATCTTTGTCTGCACTATGATTTTTCCTACTGCAATCCTAAATGGAATGCTGGAGAAGGCAAAGCATGGCAACACTACAAGATGCTTGATTCTTCTTTTTTTTTTTTTTGCTTATAAATGTACATCCCACTTGTAGCCTAGCAACAAAAGCAGCAGCCTGGGTGAGACGAGCCTGCTGCTGGGGCTCTCTCCTCAAAACAGGAGCCATCTTTGGCGTGTAACTTGACCAGAGATTTCATCATTCTGCATTAAAGCCAGCTCCAGATGTTAGAGGTCCCTGCAGCCAGCTCAGCTCTGCCAGCTTTGCTTTGCCACCTCCTCTCCCACTGCACGAGGCACGTCCACAGACGCCGCACGTGTTCGCCTCATCTCCACATTCAGGAAAATAAACCTCCTTTGCTAACCAAGGTTAGTGCAACCTCTAATTTCAGTCCTGATTGCTGCAAGCTTGTTTCTGCTCCTTGTGTTTTAACCCCCACCAATAAACTGCATTAGCTTTGGCTCTACCCCAGATGTGTTCATGGCTCTCTTCTTCTTTTTCACTTTTTTATATATCTTTTTCCATCCAGGTGATATGTTAACTGCACATTGGTACAAAGGCAATCTTCACCCTGCCCACCAGTATAATAACAATGGATTATTTATAATTCAATAAATTAAAAAAAACTATTAATACTCATATTTAAAATTCTGTCTCTGACTATCAGGTGTCTGACCTTGGAGTTATTTGCCGTGTTCCTCCCCTGGAAATGATGATCCTGCAGCAGGGAGGCTTGTCTCTTGCAGGCCTGGAATCTGTGCTGCTGTCACACAATCCCTGTGACACCGACAGCGCTGCTCAGGGGACAGCCAGTGCTCAGGGGCAGGTTTTGGGAGCGGGTGGGGAAGCAGGGAACTGTTATGTGCAGGGAGGAGGGGGATGTGACAGCCCCACACTGCCAGCTTCCACAGGGACAGGGTGGCGCATGGGGCTATGACCCTGGGGAGGTGACAGGGGTGACACACAGGGCTAGGTCCCTAGGGAGGGGATGGGCTGACACATGGGGCTGGACCCCAGGGGAGGGGACAGGGTGACAAAACAGATCAGGGGGTCTGCAGGGGAGCGGAGATGACTCGCGGGGCGGGTTCCCTGTGGAGGGGCTGGAGGAGGCAGATGAGGGTGGGTCCCTATGGAGGGGCTGGGGGATGCAGACGGGGCTGGTCCCTATGGAGGAGCTGGAGGAGGCAGACAGGGCTGGGTTCCTATGGAGGGGCTGGAGGAGGCAGACAGGGCTGGTCCCTATGGAGGAGCTGGAGGAGGCAGACAGGGCTGGGTTCCTATGGAGGGGCTGGAGGAGGCAGATGAGGGTGGGTCCCTATGGAGGGGCTGGGGGAGGCAGATGAAGGTAGGTCCCTATGGAGGGGCTGGGGGATGCAGACGGGGCTGGGTTCCTATGGAGGGGATGGAGGAGGCAGACAGGGCTGGGTTCCTATGGAGGGGCTGGGGGAGGCAGATGAGGGTGGGTCCCTATGGAGGGGCTGGGGGAGGCAGATGAGGGTGGGTCCCTATGAAGGGGCTGGGGGATGCAGACGGGGCTGGGTTCCTATGGAGGGGATGGAGGAGGCAGACGGGGCTGGTCCCTATGGAGGAGCTGGAGGAGGCAAATGGGGCTGGTCCCTATGGAGGGCCTGGAGGAGGGAGGCAAATGGGGCTGGTCCCTGTGGAGGCAGATGGGGCCGGTCCCTGTGGAGGAGCTGGAGGAGGCAGATGGGGCTGGTCCCTGAGAAGGGAGGAGAGCTCACGAACAGATCAGGGCCTCTGCAAGGCTACCAGAGGTGCCAAATGGCGCTGGGCTCCTGCAGAGGGGCCGAGGCCACACGGGGGCTGCTCCCTGTGGAGGGCACAGAGCAGCGCGGGGGGCTGGCTCCCTGTGGGGGGGACTGAGGCGGCAGACGGAGCTGGGTCCCTGCCTGGCCAGCACAGCCCAGCACCCGGCAGTGCCAGCGGCTCCTCCTCCGCCCATCCCCGCGGGGACTGCCCGGCCCCGGCCCCGCTACTCACCCGGCCGCTGGCTCCGCTGCCCGGAAGCGCCCGGCCCGGCTCGGCTCGGCTCGGCTCGGCTCGGCCAGGCTCGGTGTGCGGGCGAGGGGCCGGGAGCCGGCGGGGCCGCCCCGCTCGCCTCGCTCCGCCCCGGCGGGGCCGGGCCGGGCCGGGCCGTGCGGGCAGCGCCCGGGGCCAGCGCCTCCCTCAGCCGCCCGGCTCGCGTTCCTCGCACGGCTCCTGCCGTTCTTTATCTCATGGGATAGCCTGTGCTGCGGGGGACCCGCTGGGATGGTCAGGGTGCCACCGCTGGCCCCCCGCAGGCACAAGAATCCCACCCTGTGCCGAACAAACGCTCCTTGTGAGCTCTCCTGGGCTTCCCTGTGGAACCCAGCCACCCTCTGAGTGCATTTCCTTCCTGATTTTCTCCCCTGACACAGCTCCAGCGATTCTCTCGAGTCCTATCAGTGGTCACAGAGGGCAGAGATCGGTGCTGCCCCTCCTGAGGAAGCTGCAGCTCACAAAATCACAGAATCACGGACTAATCTGAGTTTAAGGGAACCCCCAGGATCATCGAGTCCAGCCCCTAAGTATGGCCCCAAATGGCCCATACAGGGACCGTGGTGAGGTCTGCCGTCAGTCTCCTCCAGGCTGCACTGGACTGGGATTGTTGTTTCAGGGTTATCAGAAACCCAAGGGACACTAATGGTCCCAAACCTGATGATGAGGGACAATAAATTGCCACGGAATTTTATATCAAAAAGCCATTACCCAGGTATCAAGTGTTTGTGCAGTTGCACTTACTGATGAAAGCTTTGCTGCTAATACTCAACTTCTGTGAAATATATATATATATATATATATATGTATGTATGTATGTACGTATGTATGTATGTATATATACACATTTCATAAAATAGAATTGCATAGTCTGGAGTTTGTTTTCAGTTTTTAACTGAAAGCCAACCCAGTTAATGATTTTTTAAAAAAAATTAAGAGCCAACCTTCATTCTGACACAGCCACATCCAATCTCAGATGTCTATTTCCCCTGTGGTTCCACAACTTAGATCTTAGAGATATAAATATGTTAATTGCAGCTGCAAATATACCAAGTGAGTATACTCCTACCCAAGTGAGAGTCCGTCATTAAAGAATAAAAACTGTCATCGATATCCTTGCACTGCACAATAAAATTTGTGCACAATTTATATATTTCCCTGCTAATGTCTAATTCTTTTTAATCTTGTCAGTCACATCCCAGTCTCCGTGACCACTGACAGATCCATGTGTGGTGGTATCTGGTCATAACACTTGTTGCTAAAAAAACACGGCAATGACTGAGCAGGAAAGACACCTTGTTCAGGAAATGGAAACAGCTGGATGTTGTGCAGAGAAAGAAATTAGTTGTTGTTGGGTATAACTGGGGTTGTTTCATATGGTTGTATTCTGAGGACTGATGTGTTCTGCCTGTAATTTCCTTGTATGCCCAAGATACCAATTTGTTAATCTGATTTAAAACCACATGTGGACTTTTCTTCACATCACAATTGATATTCTGCTTGCAGAGTATTTAATGTGGATATATGAATACCCAAATTCTTTCTCTGAGTCACTACATGCAAAGCTGCATGAGTTAATAGTTTGCTCTGTGCTCAGTGCAGATGGTTTTGAGCAGCTATATAACTTCTCTTTCACTGGACGAGTCATTTCTCCCATTTCTGAGTAACAAATCTGATATTTTGCCATGAATCCTGAGAAGGCTTGAGATGGCTCAGAGCAATCACCACCAGTTACTCATGAGCTACAAACTGAAAGGCAAATGGGTGAATATGTGTCATCACAAAGCATATCTGCCCTCTGACTCGATGTCTTTTTTTCATCTGCACTAATTTTCACACTAAAATGTTTTTGTCTCTATTAAAAATATGTGTCTGGATTAATCAAATAAACCCCACCCCAGCTCCTTTTGAAGCATTCCTTGCAGTTGCCTTGTTTCCTAAGGGATATATTAATAAATCCTGCAAACTCCCATGTACATTTGTGGAACTAGGGATGAATTTGACCATCTGCATGTTTCCACCTGGAAGAATTCCCAGACTATTACAGAGCAAATTCTTCCCTACACTGACCAGAAAAGGAGGATTTCTGTTCCTCCACAATTACTGCCTCATCTAAGAAATAAGCTTTGTTGTATTTGCTTTCCTGTATTCCTAAGTGGACATTTGTGTATTTTTTGTTTTTCTCCACTTCAAATTAGCCCTGAGAATCAAATGAGTAATGAAGAGCTGCTGCACATGCTTTTATGAACAGAAATGTCCAGTAAGTGGCACTGCAGGACCAGGAATTTCAAACCCTGGGTCGAAAAGAGTGCAGCAGTTTGAAGGGAAACGTGCTTGATGTCAAGACTTTTCTGCTCCATGAAAAAAGTAGTTGTAGAGCAGTGGGGAATGATGCACATGCAAGGATCTGGGGCGTTTTCAGCATCTGTTTCTGGAATATGATGTCAGGAGCTGGCCTTGGCACCAAGCTGGCTGTTATCAGGGGTTTGCCAGAGGAAATCAGCAACATTTCTGGGAATGATTCGTTAGCACTTGATGGGAGGTGCCTGTGAAGATTCTGTGCTGGGTTTTGCTATCAGGAGCAGAATGCTGGGCAAGGTGAACCACGTTTATCCAGCATTTCCTGTGGTTTCCTGACGTAATATACATTAATTTTATATAGAAGATCCAAACTTCAGACTGGGACATTGGTACACTCTGAGGGAGTTCAAGGATTGTTTTTGTAAATGAGCCAGTGATTTCTGCGAGTCTGTGTCAGTACATCAAAAACCACCACCCTGTTTTCCTAGTCTCAGCTGATAAGGAATAAACTATTAGCTTGGGAAATTTGATCAAACAGGCAAGTAACACAAAATTTTTTGGCAATATAAATTGTAATGAATCTCTTATATAAGCTGATAGAGTGTTACTTACAAAATCACTTAAATGCTTTGGCTCCATCTGCAATATTTGAACTCAGTTCTAGGTTACTCATGCTCTACTGTGCCAAGCTAAATTAATGCATACTCAATTTTCCTCTTTCTCTAGATGCACAGTTATATTGGATAAGAATGGAAGGGAATGAAGATGAAAAGCCAATCTGCATTTAGAAGGAACATAAAGCTGTGTTTAAAAGGATAAATCAGCCTTTCAAGGGGATTAGGAAACCATTTCCTCTATGATGTGGCTATTTTATAAATATCTCTTGTGGGATCATTGCTGCCATGAAAGATCCATGCCAGCTCTCACAGCTCCTTTAAACAGACATGACAATTTTTTTTCATCAGCATCTAGGGACCAGATATTGATGAATCCTTTTACTTTCACCTCCTGAGCCTTTCCCGTGGCTTTATAAAATAGTTAAAAATATGAGAACGAGGTGTGTCAGCACAACAGTGACAAAATCTGTCATATATGACAAATCAGGACGCCAGAGGACAACTGGCCACATCACAACACGGAGCAGCACAACCAGCATGGAAAAACCCTTGACACCATGCCCCAACCTGGTGGATACACCTGAAAGCAGACAGAAGTGCCTAGAGAGCAGTGAGAGATTCATAGCAGCAGGAAATTCCTGGAAAGGTATGGAAAATGTCTAGAAAAACACAGGAAAGTCCTA